ACTACTACTACTACTACCTTAATCCTTTCGCAAAGGCATACTGTAGATACCTATCTTGGTGGTGCTCTTGTTGTGTATCCTGCTGTTATTCTTGTGGCCTTCGGCCCTCTCTACCCGAAGCACCGACGAAACCCTGGGCGGCTAAGAGTTTAGGGTTCCCAGGGCCTTGCGGGGGCCTTGCGGGTCCCAGAACCCCCCCGCCGGGATTTCGAATCCTTCGGTAGTAACTGAAGATCAGCTAGGGTGGTTTGGGAAGTATGGCCAAGATGCAGGCTTCCCGGGATTTCAGACAGCAGGGCAGAAAGTTCATATCAGAAATGCTCATCCACTAAGCCAACATGCACACAGCCCTCAGGGTTCGGAATGGTTTAAGGGTCTCTGCCTGAGCCTGTGAAATCAGCTTCAGAGGCAGGAAAGATGTCGCAGCTAGGCCAGTCTCCGGCCCTCTACAGATCCCTTCTAAATCCCTTTAGATCCCTGAAATAAAATAATGTATAAGTCCTGGTCGAAAGCTCTAAACCTACTGTGGGCCTTAGGTTGTGAAGCCGCTGGACAAGCCTTTGCAGCATTGCCGAGGATACCGAGGATCTGGCTTTCGGTAGCCTTTGTTCGGTGCCTGCACAGAGTTGAATGAGATGATCACACAGAAACATGTGCGTACATATAAACATACCGCGTTTATATGTCTGTACATATATGTACACAGAGTCACAAGCATACATACGTATGTATGTATGTATGTATGTGTATATATACATATATGTATTCATAACTCTGGTGCCAAGCTTTTGCGGATCCTACATTTCAAGTCAAACCAAGGCCTGTGGATATGATTAGAGGGCATTCCATCTGCAGGGCGGCACTCCCTAAACCCTAAACCCTAAACATAGGAACCCAGAACCAAAGCCTGCGTGGCACTTACGTAGGACGTAGGGTCACTTCAGCCAGCCAGAAAAAGCAACAACTGTCTTATGAATTCGCCAGTGGTTTGGTCCACCGGCACAAGCCAATGCTCGAAGATGCTCAAAGGCTTGACGGCCGAAATGGCATGCCTGCCTTTGGGAACTGTGTGGGCAATTCCGCTTGAACCCGATGCTCTGCACCTTCAGAGCCCGAAACCCTGAACTCAAAGCTCTGAATTGAGCAACCCTAGTATAGGGGCCTTGACAATTAGAATTGGGTATTGGGGCCCCTTATAGCATAATGATAACGAGGAACCCCAACATAGAATTGGTAAGTATTTAAGGCCCTCATAGGCCCTATAGTATTCCCTTGGCTGAGTTCCCCGGCGCGGATGCGCGGGCGGTTTGCCATGACTGCAGCAGGCGGCTTGAAGGCCTGACAAAGTCTGTTTCAACATGTATCCCAGGAGGGCTTGAAAGGCGGAAAAAAGTGCTCGGAATGGGGTAATGGTTTAGGATATAGTCGTTGTTGTAGTAGCAGCAGCAGTGCCGTCGCCGCCCTCCCACTTGACATCAAGGCCGTCGAGGCAGCCCTGCCTTCGACGCGCTAGACAGGCCCAGCAGCACCATTGCCAAGGCCGAAACGGAGATGGCGATCAACACGCTAAGCCGCTAAGCTCGAGATTTGTTTTTACCCTGTCTCGGTATTAAGCTGACATTGGGGCTCAGAGACTGTCCAGTCTGCGGAGCGGTGTGAACCTAACCTCATCTTCTTTCCGCAGGTCCGCCCGTATGAATTCTACAGTTGGGTGCTTGGGGGCAAACGAGTAGAGAATGACCGTCTGGGGTCACATGTGTAGCCAGATTTTACGCAGGTGGGAATGTCGCAAGCGTTGGAAGTTGGATGAGCTTGAACGAATGGGCCTCCGAAACAGGAAAGCCTGGGGGCTGATAATGTAGGCACCTGATTGAGAAACCCTCGGCCTAGAACCTCAAAATAAGAGGGTTCATATAAGGAACCCAAATAAAGAAAGGCCCAAGGTTTCTTAGTCAGGTTTCTGCATCAGTGTACTCTGCAGAGCCCAGATTCAACCAGCAGGTCTCGAAGTGCCATGCTATGCATCTACATGTCTTGGCACTGTACTAGAATCTGGAGATACCATCCCTTCCGGTGTCTAAAGTCCAGAAACTACAAGTTAGCATGGAGAAAGCTAAGGTTAGGATCCTGGTAATGCTGGAAAGACTGAGGATGAGCATGATTTATGTACTAGCCACATACAATAACAATCTACAACAGGACTACAGTTCCAATAGAACTATTGTCCGACTGTCCGCGAATCGGGGTAGTATCTAAATGTGGTGATTTAGATGAAACTGTGATGACGAGTCCGTGATGGCGGTGGTCACAGGAACAGGAACATGATGAAGTAATGATGACAACCAAGTTGTAGAATACCTAGACCCGGGCTCCTGATGAATTCAGACGAATTTTGAGTGACGATATTCGTAGCAGATAGAAATCTCAACTATATATAGCAAGTAACCATGGTACCAAGTAGCTACTGTACATAATAACAGCAATGATGACTCACAACAAAATGATAATAATACCGTAAATGAATAGGATGAGATGGCGCTTATCCGGGTCTGGTGGTCAACACTGACATTACCCAGCATGACCCGGGCAACTGCAGGAACTATGAAATTCATTCAAAAACCTCCACCTCTACCTCCACATTTACCTCTTCCTGCTCCTTCCTCGTGATTATCATCATCACCATCGCTGCTAGTAGCGCTTTCTTCTCTTCGTATTGTGATTGCCATCGCAGTCCCTTGGCTCATCTCGACTGCTGCTTCAACGACGACTACAGGCTACTATGTCCGACGTACTTTTTGACATTTTCCCTCGGCTGCATACTGCTTCCTCCTTCCTGCCACTATGACGATGACGACGACGGTTGCGACTACTGCTACTGACGCTGTCGTGACATCGGCTTGCAATCTAAGGGCTGGAATTTCAATTTCAAAACGTGGAAAGCGTTGACAAAAATGGAAAACGACTGAAAGGCGTAATGTGGCGTCTTTAAACTGGATTCGACCCTCCCCAACCCCTTCTTCAACACCTACCAGTGCCAACTACAAATGCTACTGCTACTGCTGCTGTGACGACTGCTTCTGCTAGTAAGTGGGCGGCACTAGCGCTAAGTCTAGAACTGTTGCTGTTAGCCAGAGTGCTTTGGCAGTATGATGGTTGTGATTGCGGAATTTGCGGTTGTGATCGCGAGATATCGCTCGCCGGTTGTTGCAAACATGTTTTCTTGCTGGCTGTGGTTTGCAAGCCAATACACATCACACAATCTTCAGCCAGCTGTGCCGCCAGAACTCGGCGGAGAGGGAGAAATTCTGCGGCGCCGGCTCCTGTGGGTGTCGGACTCGAGGTCCAAGGACTTCGGCAGGGTCGGATCCGAGGTTCAGGGCAGGATTGTTGTGGCCTTGGGTACTATTATCCCAAAACATGTAAAGTGTATCCACTCAGCTACTAAGTCGGGGTTAGAAGGGGAAGTGTTGGAGTTCCCTAAAGCTTGCGATGCACCCCGAGTCCACCCTAAACCCTAATCCAGGAACTGAACCTCCGCAAATCAAAGGTGCAAAGCAGCAGAAGCAGTACCTGTAGCAAGGCCTGAACCTAAACCCTGCACCGATGGGATGGTCAGGCCTCTGGTAGAGAGGCCGGTGACGGCTCCTCGAAAACAAAGCTGGTACAGCTGCGAGGGATTTGATCAGGTTTTTTCGGTTTCAGGGTTTGATCAGCCCTTGGGTTCAGGGCAGTGCTGAGGCTCGGGATTTTCTGGGAAGTTTCCGTTCAGAGCCTAGGGTCCGGTAGGCAGGGTGAGCCTTGTCTTTGCAAACCGCTCGAAATGCTCCAAAACGAGCGAGGCGCCATTTTGTGGGTTTACTATAGGGGCCTTTATAATTAGAATAGGGTTTTCGTGCCCACTATACTATTGTGATAATTCGGAACCCCCAAAATAGTTTAGGGAATTATTTAGGCCCCTTCATTGCCAGCACTGCTCGCTTCCCTGTGGCACGGGCTCAAAAGACCTGAATTCGGAGAGCACATGACAGTACTTGCTTGGAAAACCGTCAGGTGTCCGAGTTAAGTTTGAGCCAGAAGCATCCCGTGCTGACATGCCGCAGGGAAAAAGGCATGTGTGGAGCCTCAGGTCATTCAAAAAGCATCAAATTAAGGAAACACCACATCCAAAATAGCCTTACTTAGTCCAATGCAAACCCTCAGCCTCCCCCGCGAACCTCACAGATATCTCAAAGCCTAAACCCGAAGAGCCCCACAAGCAAAAAACAAAATGACGCCCTACAATCTTACAGCCAACATGAATCTCGAACCCAAAGCCTTGAACTACGGGGTAACATGCTAAACCTTTAAAAACCCGGTCAGACGCCCGATGTCTTTCGCAGTTTTGGAGGTCTAGAGCCCATTTCACATCACCCAACACTACCTTCTTCCAACTCCCTAGCTTGCAAACCTCCAAAGATCAAGGTTCAAACCACGCTTGATTGGTATGGTTGTTATGAATATTACGTGCTGTTTGTATTCGTCGCATCGTTAATAGCACCACGTTTATTGACTGAAACAGAGGCAGTCCTGTGGTCGAGCACCACCTGTTGTCGGAATCGCAGGTCAGAAGCGATAAGAGGCAAGCATGCCGAACAGCTCCGATGCTGTAGGCCTACAGAAACTATCTGGTATCCCAAAAGCTTCCGCCGAGATCCGCGATTTTACGCTTCAGGGTATATAGATCCGCACATCCTTTTGCAGCAAAAGACTTGTGCCAGCTGCTCATGGAATCACTGTACAGGCAGAAGTCGCAAGCGTCTGCGAGCCGTTTAAATGGCTCGTGACGGCTGGTGGTCATGTGAAGTTGTACCTGCGCCGGTATCTAGGTACACCCTACGCACCCTACACTCCAAAATCGACCACATATCAGCATTGCTCTCTGCCTAGCTACAACGAGTCCATTGCACTGAAGCTTCAGCACGGGTTTCTGCCACTCACCCGGGCTCATTGCTGTGAGGCATTCAGCGCCACCGACGACCACGCGCCCAGCCACGGCGAGGCCGACCCCATCGAGGCCGTCCCCAGCCCCCCCGACCCCAGCGGTTGGGCCGGCCCCAGCCAGGGCGGCCCCAGCCGCCAGGGTGGCCAAAGCCAGGGCGGCCCCAGCCACCATGATGAGGGTGGCCCCAGCCGCCATGATGAGGCTGGCCCCAGCCACCATGATGAGGATAACCTGGACGTGGGGTTGGCATGAAGGACGGTCTACATTGACATGTCGTGCACAAATCTGAGGTGGCTAGACAGACCCACGCCGTAACAACAGGCCCGTATCTCTGCCATGCAACGCCGAGAACTACAAGTCAAAGTGTCAAGTTATGCCGCTTGCATTATCACTAAGGCAACCAATCTATTGCACCATGAACGTGAAACTCCAGGTCATTTTGTGATGTTCTGTTTTGAGGATAGACTTGTAACTACATACACATACATGCACATTAAAATCTTCATATTATACACATACACATACACATGCATACGCAATGCACATAGACATCTACATCTACATACACACAAACTTACAATACATATACACACATGCATACATACATAGCAATACATGCCAACACACACACACACAGACACGCATACATATACGCACATAAACACAAGCGTACAGACATACACACTTACACAAAAAATGCATGCATGAACACGTACATACACAGACCTACAGGCATACATACATACGCTTTGAGGGCCTGTCGGGGTGTACTTGATCACGAGTAGAGAACATTACTACCAAGTGCTCTGTAGCTGTGAAGCGACCCCGGCACAATGGGCCAAGTTACCAAAACCACCGAAGTCGACGTTCTCTTGATCCTGCCGTTTAGGGGTGAATGTTAACTTGATATGTCTTAAGTCTTAAGTCTTACACTACAGTCTGTTTTGGCAGTATGTCACAATTCTTCATTTCTAGATACGAGGCTTGAAGTGAACATGTGCATGCATTGGGTGCAAAGCCAGGGGGTCACGACAAGTTGTACTGTGCTTACGGGAAGGCGGGAAACGCGGGAATGCAGAGACGACTTTTCAGGGAACACATCGGGATTACCACAGGGATGCACTCTTTTCCTCCCCCCCTAAGCATCCGTTGGAAAAATGACTGGAACGCTCCTTGCAGCGACCGATGAGCGAAACTTGCAGCTGGTATGACTATTGACTAGGGGTCCTGAGAATGGGGAAAACTTTTTAGTGCTTAAAGCTGAGGCTTTCCGCCCCACACTGCAGGACTGACGGTGAAACCCCGATTCCTATACTGTAGCAGCCCGCTGGATTCTGGGATTTGGGACCGGTCTCAAAAAGGCGGCTCCTCTTCAGCCAGGACTGCCGATGTAGCCTGGGATTCCTCTGAGGAACTTGCTTGGCGCTGCGCCGCCTTCACCTGCTGCCCGGAAGCCTAGATGAAGCCCTAAACCCAAACCACCAAGCCCCTAAGCCATCGAAGCCCCAAATACCAAATTCCCATGGCTTTCTTCGGGCTTGGCTGAGGTGAAGTTGGGAACGTGCCAAAGGAAGCATTGGTGCTAATAACTAAGCTTTTAGCAAGTTTACTCGTGGTAGACATTGTAGGACTGACGGACGGAATGCATTTACCGGATCACGTGGCGCGGAGCTTGCACATTCTGCTTTGCGTGCCAAGCTACTGCTCGCTTCCCCGGGCATTTTGGCAAAACTGTCAGCTAGAGCGGCAAGGTGTCAACGGTTACGGCAAGGAGCTCGGGTCTTGCGATTGTCACCAACCATCGCTTTGACTTCAGGGAAGGATTTGCTGTCAGTGTTGCCTTATGAACCTCTGCAGCCAGTCATGCATAAACTAAACACCCGTATCTTTAAACCACTGTACTAAACAGCCCATGTGAAAGCTTCGTCCCGCCTGGAGCAAAGCCAGTCCATCATCGGAATCCTCCTGACAGGCCCCCAGCCGATTCACTTTCAGGGCTCCAGGGGTTAAGGGTTTAGGGGCTTAAACCCTAAACGTTCCAGGTACCCTGAAGCCTAAACTCTAAACCTTGGACCCGGAAGGGTTTGAGGTCCATCAATCCCGAACTTCACAGACGAGCGGGGTAAGTACCGATATTCTTGAAGGTGGTTCGCACTGCAACAAATATAGTCGCCATATGAAAGTGTGTGGCATGCGAAGTATATACCTACAGTTACCGGTACTCAGAACCATGGGTACCATAGGGGCCTTAATAATTACCTACATGTTTTTTGGGGGGGTTCCTCATTATAAGTATAGTATAGTGGGCCCCAAAAACCTCTTCTTCTTTGTTTAGGCCCTGTATTCTATGATTTGATGAGTCATTCAGGGTCCCTTCCATGAAACTCTACACCTAAGGGTTCAATGGACCCAATAATTAGGCGCTTAGGTTTAGGATAGTAGTTATGTAGGTTACTCTTTGAGAGAATATGTGATGACTAGGGCACATGGACCCTTAGGGTAAACCTTCGTGGGCCCTGCGCTCGACCCTTGCTCCCTCAACCCTTCAAGGCATTCGAAGATGTGCATATGTATGTGTATATATATATATATATACATTCGTATCCTACACATACACACATATCGTTACAGGCACAGATACAGGAATAGATATACATCTAGATATAGATGTAGATTTGGATCATCATAGGTAGATGATAGGTAGATAGATAGACAGGTCCTTCGGGGTGTAAGTGTAACTAACGCCTCGAAGCTTCCGCCACATCAACAAATCTCCGCCGACTTCAAAACCATTCAGAAAAGCCCCCGGTGCAGCCCCCCTTCCCTACCTGCCCCTTCCTGGACCCGCCCTCCCCCTACCTCCCCACTTACCGACTACCCCTACCCCCTACGAAACACCGACCCCCTACCTGCCTGCATCCATGTGGAGACGTCCACCTCCACGAGGCTGCCGCTGCAGGAAGCCAGCAGGAGGATGCCCCAAAAGTACATTTCTTCAAAGTGGAATGGGACCCGGAGGGTTTTCGGCGCCCCACTGAAGCTGCCGTCGAGCCGAAAGAGGGCGAGTGAGGGCGGCTTTTGAGTAGCTCTTGCCCCAGAAGGCAAAGAAGCTAGACTGCCTATCAGTTTTCAGTATGGCGTTTAGCGTTTAGGGTGTTTTTGGGGTTTAGGGTTTGGGGATGTGGTCACAAAAGAGCATACAGATAATCGACCTCAGGTGTACATACCTTGCAAGCCACCTTCCAACAGTCGACGGGATGCACCCAACGGGACCGAGCCACTGTGCAAATATGGATCCACGCCTCTTGAACCCATTAAACCCGATGACACGAACAAAACGACCTTAAGTACGCAACCAACCCAAAGTCCTATATAATTATATAAGTTCATAAGTTCACAAGCTTCACTGAACTCCTCCCGCTGGAGTTTTGGCTTGTCAGAAGGCCGCCCGCCTGGATTCGGCCGAGGAGGCGTTCGCGCCTGGCCGGGATAAAGGGGACTTTCCTGCGGGCAGGGCAGCGCTGAATCGTTTCGGACAAGCGGGGGGGGGGGTCTCATACTGACAAAAAGACTCCAAGCAGTCAAGACAATTACTTACTTATCACCAGGAAGTGACCCCATTTTAGAGAACTGCGCCGGGACCCTAGAGAACTACCCATAAGGGTACGTAGGTCGTACTAATCACCAAAGCGATCCGAACCAACATCACCAAAACCACTTCGGTCCCTCATCCTCGTGGCATTCATCGCCATGGCCCTTCGAATTCATCTGTGAGCAGGATACTTCGCAACACTTTCGGAGTCTGCAGAGGGAGTTATTACCCTAAAACCGACCGGCCTCCGCTGCTTCGTCTGAATTTCTAGGCATCGAACAACCGGAGGTATGAAGGCCGAGGCTTCGGGTAGTAGGGTCCCTACAGCGCGTAAGCCCTCAAGCCCTGAACCCCAAACCCGATACCCTCAACCGTAATTCTCCGGCCGACAGGACGGACATCAAGTCTTCGGTCTTCTGAGAATACATAAATACTTCCACTTCGGAAGGGCATCCTTCACCTCTGCTTTTCGGTATTGATATGTGGGAGTTTCCGAAAATGGGGTACATTAAAAAGTAGGATCCTTATTATAAGGAACCCTAACTTTCGGAAACTCCCATATGATTACTTCCAGGATCCGGGGTCTAAGCAAGAAGGACAGAAACCACCTTAGTTAGAGCTTGTAAGCCTGCCTTTACTGTACCTTGAAGTTTATATGAACAGCAATGAAAAATAGTGCTAAGGGGACTATAGTTTAAGTCAAGTCATCTAAACCCTACACCCTAAGTCCTAAACCCTATACCCTAAACGCTAAGTCCTAAACCCTAAACGCTAAGTCCTAAACCCTAAACCCTAAGCCCTTAAACCCAAAACCCTAAAAACCCTTATAGATCCCTTCCAGGATCCCTTAAAGAAACGAAGCCCCAGGTCTCCGGCCGTGCGAGGTGGCCTAGGCAACGAGGTCGGGGACCTCGTTGGCCCGCTGTGTTCTATAGGGGCCTTGAGAATTAGAATAGGGTTCCTTTAAAGGGTTACTAGAAGGGATCTATAAGGGTACTATATTATTGGGGCCTTGATAATTAGAATAGAGTTCCTTTAAAGGGGTCCATAAGGGCTACTATAAGGACTTAGTATAAGGGCCTTAGCAATCCAGACCCCCTTTGGAGGATCCAAAAAGTAGATCCTTTAATGGGATTTCCTATAAAGTCCCCTTAGTAGTATAGGGCCCCAAATTAGGGGATCTACTTTCGAGATCCTCCCGGGGGTCTGGGTATAGGGCCTGGGGGTAATAAGGGCTACTATAAGGATTTAGTATAGGGGCCTTAACAATCTGTTTACTATTGTTGATGATATAAACCCTGCATTACCCATAACAAGGAATATACCATACTTTCTATAGTTTCGGGTCCTTAAGGTAATGCAGGATTTATATCATCAGCCGTATAGGGGCCTTGATAAGTAGAATAGGGTTCCTGGGGTCTATGAGGGCCACTCATATAAGGATTTAGTATAGGGGCCTCAATATTTAGAATAGGGTTTTGGGGCCCGTTAATTATGCCACAGTTAAAAAAGGAACCACGAAAAGTTCAGGGTTCTGGGCTTTGGGTTATTAATGTTTTGTTTTTTCGAAGCTTTAGGCCTTAGGTTGTGGGTTTCTGGGAGTCTCATCGAATTTCGGTGGTCTTGCAAAAGATTTGGTGCCTGGGGGCTTGAAAGCTTGGCCTGCGGCCAAACTCCAAACCACAGGCCGTATAAGCATTAAACCCAAACCCTTAACCAGCAACAACAAAAATCCGTATCCGACATCCAGCATGAAGAGTCCCGTCGGCCTCTTTGGCCCCTCTTCAGCCGTTCCAGTTTTCGCATCCAAGGCCTAGAAAGATCCGGGGGATTGCTTCGAGTTTAGGTGATATGAGCGGGTTTAGGGTTTAGGGGTTTAGGGTTTAGGGGTTTCTATAGGGTTTTCATGGCTTTATAGGGCTTCAGGTTTGGGGACTTTGGGCTTTAGGGGTTTTTTTGGGGGTTTAGGGACCTAAATGCGGCTGCTCGGGAAGCTATACTCGAGATAGCGTTTCCAGAAAATCGGATTCGGCTGCTACACTGTATTCTTGCCCCAGAACCACCCCTGGCAACTTGCCTGGCACCCCGGCGATATCTATGCGCCTTTACCCACTGCTTGTCATAGCTACTAGGTTGTCCTGGTATGATCCCCTAACTTGACGTTGACACCTTATAACGAAGGGTGCAGCGAGGCGCAACAAATCTCCCACTAGCCTACCTAGCCTAGCCTAGCCTCATCATGACCCTATAAATCTTTAATCTCAAGCCCTATAGACCCTGAACTCTGAATCCCAAACCGCAATCCTGAATCCGTAACCCTAAGCCGTAAGCCTTGAACGACAGTGAAACACCCGCATAAAGCCCTCATTCAAAATCTATGAACCCTGACTTAGCAAGCCCTTGTAAGACCCCTCAAGACCCCCGAGTCTAGACGTATCCTGCGTGAACTCTCAGCCCTAAAGTCCAAAAACCCTATTCTGGGACCCTGAACCCTACCTATAGTCTCCATTGTAGTTCTATTTTTGGTTTTAACCAAATATCTAATTTGGATCCTATAAGGTAACCCGGGAGCCCTGAACCCTAAACCCCAAAGAGCTGAGGTCCGAATTAAACCCCAAAACTCCGCAGCAGAGAAAGGACCCTGCGCTGCATCCGCTCCGAGCTTCCCTGCACATCTCATCTCCTGAAGCCTGAGGTTTTGGGTTTAGTTTTTTTTGAGCTCCTTGCGCGAGGCTTTTAGGGCTTCAGGCTTCAAACTTTCAGGGTTTTACGGTTAAGCGCTTTAGGGCTTAGGGTCCGGATAGGGTTTCAGGCTTCAAATTTTCAGGGGTTCATAAGGTTTTCAGTCGGCTCTGTTGTAACTTTATAGCATAGGGCTTCATAGGGTTTTCACCTGGGGTTTCTCATGTTCAAACTTCCAGGGTTGCGCAGGCAGAAACTTAAAAGTCAACATGAGGCAAGCTGAATATAGGAGCCTTAATGATTAGAATAGGGTCTTGGGGACCATTATACCCTAGTTATAATAAGGAACCCCTTTTAGTATAGGTAATTATTGAGGCCCCTATATTAAGTTGTACGAAAGTGCACGAGTCGCTCGCTGTGTCCATTCCATTGTGTTTGCTATTTGCGTGCGAAGAACAAGAACACGGTGTCTGCTTTTGTGTGCTGTATTTTTATATGTGAATGTATATGTATGTGTGTATGTGCATGTAGCTAGCTAGGTTGGTAGGTAGAGTAGATGTAGGTATGCACGGATGGCTAGATGCATGAACGCTGTTTGGGGTGCGCATTCATGCAGCTAGCAACTTGCACATATCGACGCGAACAGCTGCTTGGAAAGGGCAGATGGTAGATGCTTCAGATTTACAGCATCTACCTTGGCTGTTCCTCATAAAACTGAACAAGGCCAACTAAATATGCTAAGTACGCCCTGAATCCGAATCCCAACCACGCAAGAGCTCCTATGGCGCGCGAACTCCGGACCACCAAGAGCTCTACGAAGCGCCAAGCCCGAAGGTGCCAACACAGCAGGTACATCAGCCCTACAAGCTTATTCTGTAGACACTTACATCTTTTGCACATGGTGTCGCAATACTGTAGTTGGAATACTGGTTGGCACTCTATTCTCGTGGTTCTGGTACCACCCTAGCGGGATACTGTTACCAAGTATCCAGGCCTGCAGATTTTATGGGTCCTGCCGAAAACTCAAACCTAAACCCTCAACCATAAACTCTAAACCCCTAAACCCTCAACCCTAGACCCTGAACCCTAAACCCCAGACCCTAAACCCCAAAACCTAAACCGCCTGCAGACGAGGTGGAAGGGCTCCGGGCTCTTCTTCGTAGCGGAGGCTGGCGGCCGCTAGCCGCGCCTCATCGACGAAAGAGCGAGCGGGAAATTTTCGCGGCATTCAATACACGGGCCTTAATACCCAGAGGCCCCATAGTAGTTTCTTTTTGGGATTGCCCCATAAGATTCTAAACATGAACCCCCAAAAGGAATTACTTTGGGGCCTTAGGGTAGTTACCTATACTACTTTGGGGGTTCCTTTACGTATTATGATTATAGTAGTATAGTGGGCCCCCAAAACCCTATTCGAATCATGAAGGCCCCGATATTAAGGCTTTTATGGGCCTTTTGGACCTTTACAAAGCTTGCGATGTTGCGAGTCTGTGATTCTTCGGGGGACTTATGCCTCAGCCTTTCTGAATGCAATGCTACACCAAAGTCGTATGTCAAAGCATGCTCAGCCACAAGTGTGCCTGAAGGCCTCCCAGGTCCGAGTGGTCAGCTAACTCTAATACCAGCATAGATTAGATCATCTACACTTGTACATCCAATGCGATCAACGCATGAGGGCAAGCTTCGCAGCCTTTTTGCCACGAACGAGACATCGCCG